CTTTGATATCAATGCTCAGGATAGCGATATGCTCTTCAGTCAATGGCATTTTCCCCTTCTCATACCTCAGGTAGCTGGCAGAAGATACCTAGAGCATGTGGAAAGGCGGCGTCGTGTCGTGGCCTTGTTGAGCCTTTCGAGAGGCACCAGGCTGCAACGACACGGAGCAGTTGATGACGAGTGCAAGCTGCAGGCGAATCACACCCACAGATCCAGCCTGAGGACAGCGGATAGCTCGGAGGCGAAGATCACTGAATAGAGAGGGCCACAGGCGAAGAAGACAAACCGGATAAACGAGGCACTGCTGCTAAATCCACTGCCTGTATGCCGGTACCGTCCAAGACAAGACTGGTAACACAAGGAACAGGCACAAGGCCAGAAAAAGGTGAGATTCCGTGGGGTTTCCCATGTGCGTGCCAGCGAACTGCAGGCTCTTGTCTCCTGAAGAGAGGCATTAAAAGAGGCAATCTCTGATTGGCCACACTCCATCTCGCTCGAGTGATGAGTGCGCTCCAATGGGAAAGCAGCCATTTTCGTTGGAACGGAACGGCAGGTGCGCATCGAGCAGCGGGCAGGAGCAAGGCAGCAAGGGAGAAGCCGGAAGCCAAAACGAGGAAGCCACTCTGCCACTCTCCACACTGAGAGAAGGAGCGCCAGCTTGTCGGGAAGGTCCCACCCGCTTGTCTCCCTCCTCCACCCCTTCCCAAATCTCTATCACACTCTGTACCCCAAAAACAGAAAAAGTGCCACATCTTAGCAATGAACTTTTCTGATGTTCATGCTTGGATCGTCATGAACTTTCTTATCCTGGCAGTCATACAGTACATGGGCGTCTCTCGATCATGGATCACCTCAGACGGCGTGCACCTCTTCGTGACTAGTCAGAAATGTGTCAATCCTGCTACTACTGAGCTGGCATTAATTACAGTAATTACCTCCTTCTCCCATCCCTGGAGGTTTTCAAGGTCCAGACCTTGGAGGGCCTATACAGCAAGATCCACTGTGGCTACCCACCTAGACAGTTCACACGCTTTGCCCTGCCCTTAGGAGCCCTGGTCATCTTCTTCGGCGCGCCTGGCTTATTACCAGATCTCATGTCGCGCAGTAACATTATTTACACTACAGAGCCTGGCTCTTCCAAAAGCAGGCTTTGGCCTTCCAAGAAAGTGGGGAGGTCGAAGCTGAAGAAGCTTGAGCTGTCACGTAGCTGTACGAAAATAGGCCGCCTCGGGGCACCCCCTAGCTTCACCTTAGGGAACCTTAGCCTCCTCAGTCGGACGGACTCTTCAGCCCGGCCGGCTTACCCGCCCTACCAGGTATTAACGTCACCGTTCCTGGTGGATGGCCCAAATGAAAGTGCTGTAAACTGCGAGGCTCTCGGAGCGCCGAGACATGGGTTTGTACAGGATTCTAGGAGTGTATGTCGACTACAGAAAAGAGGCCAGATGTCATCACTTCATTAGAGGAGATCTAGAGATCCCATGGCTGGCCGATTGGCCGAGGGATGGATTACGTCGTCCATTTGTTCTTATCTGATCTGATCCTGTCGACGTCTTCATTCGGTCACGGCAGCATCCCTGTCTTCGATGGTGCCCCAGTCCCACGCCGCTTCAAAATGCCGATGCTCGGGCCCGACATATGGCATAGTATGGCCTGATATCCTGGTCTAGCACGGGGACAGCGTCATTACCCCCGATCCAATTCGGCCTTCTGACTGCTCATGCCCGAGTCTCCAATGTTCAAGTCCGCTTATGGCCGGCCCGTCCGTAGACATCCCGACTTTCATTGCTCGACTAGATTTCTCGTACTCTCTGTGCCAAAAGCCTCTTTGTTTTTACTCTCCCAGAGCTGCGAAACTGGAAATGCCAGAGTGAGCTACCTACTAACTCTGCCTCCTTATCATTTGACGGTATTGACAGGTAGCATCTTCAAGAGTTCTCGCTTTCTGCATTTTTTGTTTGCTAATTGATTACAATGTCAATTACATCATGATTTTTCATAGCATGAATTATCTACAGAGGTATATTCGAGTCCAGTCGACTGATACCAAGGAGCTGCCCATAGCAGTGTAGCCTGTCACACTCACAGGTGAGGAGAACAACGTTCCAGGTTGCCCCGCACTCGAGTGAGTGGTGAGGTGCCAATTGAACCCCGCCAAAATCTGCGCTCCTTTTTTCACCTGTGCCTGGCGATCTGGGACATCTCCCGTCCAACTTTCCACCCTCACGGGAAGATCATCCAACGCCATAGATGATCTCCCAGTGATTTTCATTCCATTCCCTGAACACGCCTTTTGCCGTCACCACTGCTCCGGAGGCTGTTCCGGGCCCAAATAGCGTTTCACGAGGCTGTTGATCTGCCTCTCCTCCGGACCTGCACCGGCTTGAGGCTCGAATCATGCCCGGCGCCAATCCCACCACCGCCGTCTCCGCGCCCGGCAAGGTGCTGCTGGCCGGTGGGTACCTGGTCCTTGATCGAGCCTACACCGGCCTTGTCTTCGGCCTCAGCGCTCGCATCAGTGTCATCGCCCAAGAAATACACACAAGCCAGGGCGTCCAGTTGACAGAGATTGTGGTCGATAGTCCCCAATTCCTTGATGCCCAATGGCGTTACGGCTATCATCTAGCCGATGAGGATGGCGGCATTAAAGTCACCCAATTGCATGTGTAAGTCTTTCATTTTATGCTTCATTGTCATACCTTCCTTATCAACGGCATTCTCTAGCTCTTTGCCTTGACCGAACCTCATCAACATTCAATCTCCTCCAGGTCTTTGCAGCTCAAATATAAGGACTTGCCCTGTAATTCATCTTGCCATCTGTGTTCGCTTCCATAGCTTTCCTTATATCACGATTCATTTCTGATACTTACTACCATACCTCTCTCGCAGTGGCTCAAATCTCAGCGCCAATCCCTTCGTTGAAGCCACACTTAGCTATGTCCTCACCTACATTTCCCGGGTGGCTCATTACCGGCCGTCTCACAGCGTAAAGTCGGCTCGGCTCACCATCCTGGCTGACAACGACTACTACTCTCAGCCGGACTCCTCTTTAGTCGATACCAAGGCAGTCAAAATTGGATCAGGCCGGTTTGCCGTCTTTCCCACGACCCTGAAAGGCGCAAACAAGACAGGGCTGGGGTCGTCCGCTGCCCTCGTGACCTCTCTCACAGCGTCACTGCTGGCACACTATCTCCACCCCATGTACTTCGACATCAACACCGACAAGGGCAGGCGGACCCTTCACAATCTTGCGCAGGCCGCCCACTGCGCCGCCCAGGGCAAGGTCGGCTCAGGCTTCGACGTTGCGGCCGCGGTGTACGGCAGCTGTCTGTACACGCGCTTCTCGCCGTCGATATTGTCGGCGCTCCCGGAGCCGGGCAGCCCCGGGTTCGGCAGCAAGCTCGAGACGCTCGTCTCCGGGGAGGCCGAGGACGCAAGGTGGGACACGGAGGTCACCAAGGACGGCATCAGCCTGCCGGCCGGCGTGGCGATGCGCATGTGCGACGTCGACTGCGGCTCGCAGACCGTCGGGATGGTGAAGCAGGTGCTGGCGTGGAGGGCGAGCGACCCAGAGGGCTCCAAGGCGCTGTGGGACTCGCTGCAGAAGAAGAACGAGGCGCTGGCGGCTGCTCTTCGAGACGGCGACCTTGACGGCCTCCCTGTGGCGATCGGCGCGGTCCGGGAGCTGGTCAGGAAGATGGGCGCCGAGAGCGGCGTGCCCATCGAGCCTGAGAGCCAGACAGAGTTGCTCGATGCATTAAGCAAGGTCGATGGCGTCTTTGGAGGTGTTGTTCCTGGTGCCGGCGGGTATGATGCCGTGGCGCTGCTGGTGAAGGATGATGACGGAACGACAAAAGGGGTCGAGGACTTCTTGACGAAGTGGACAAAGGAGAAGGGTACGCGGGTGAGGTTGCTACCCGTAAAAGGCGAGCTCGAAGGCGCGAGGATGGAAAAGCTGAACATATATGATGGCTGGCTCCGAAAATGAGGGACAGGCAAAAACGACATGCACATGTACGGGGAGATCATGGCAACGATTAGTCTTATGATGTCTGGGGGAAAATATTATGGCTTGCGAAATTTGGCTATCTAAATATCTTGAAACCAGATGAAAAGGCTATCGCGTCTTTCTAAAGCGATTTTCTCTAGTTGTTCAAATGCTGTCGTAGCAAAAATTCCTTGGTCACTTTTGTTCTATGTGACCTCTCTACTCCTCCAATGCCTGCATCTGGGAGCTTATACAATACAATCTCAAGCTCCGGCTTTCGTCTTCCTTTTAATTATTGTGTGATGGATGAAGTCGAGTGAACAACCGTGTATGCTGAGGAAAAAATTACCGCCTCTTATCTTATACACTTCATCTCCTACTTGGAGACGTCGTCCCCTATAGCATGCTCCCGTGTAGGGAGGATGGGCTGACGGGAGACGATGATAGCCTCGATGGTGATGACGAGAGAGCATCGCCTGGGAGGAGTGGCCTTGGGGGAGCTGTGCGGCTGTGTGGGATGCCAATGTATTCATCGGCGACTGCGATGCGGCTAGCTATAGCCTGCTCTCGAAGAACTGACATCCTATTGTGACCCCAATCAGCAAATACTCCAATACAAATCGTCGCGGTTGAACTTACTCGTCATCGCTCACACCTGGCAGGATGGAATCTTCTCTCCTGAAGTTGAAAGGCGAAGACTGGAGTGAGAATTAGCAATGTAGCCATGAGATGAACGTTGGTGGGATTCCATGTACTCACGATCTGAGGGCGCTTCTCCTTCCTCCTCCTGAACAGCACCAAATCATGGATGCGAGAGTAGTGGATCTTGAAGTATTCGTAGACAGCCATGATGAAAGTCTGGTCAGGACCAAAGGATGGCGGTTTAAGTGAGCTGAAGGATACGTGGAATTGGCTCCGCAAGGTGGAGGTGCGAAGAGACGATCACAGTCGATGATGCTTATTTGATGGCCACCAGCTGAAGTCTGAGAGGTGATGAGGACGTGGATTTGATGCAGGTGGTCCTCCAAGTAGCCCTCTTTTGTGGTAATCGATGAGAAGATCACGGAAACAAGTATAACAATTCAACGAAAATGAACAGCAGCGACAAAGGAGTGGCTAGGGGAACTGGTTCGAGAGCAGTCCACTATGATAAAAAGGAATGGACGAAACGGCTGGCCAGCTTTGTCTCGACTTGTAAAGATGACGATTTTGTTCGATGTTAATCCAGAACAAAGAGAGGCTGGCTGGATATGCATTGCTTCGAGGGGGTGGGCCGCCTCAAAGAAGATATACGGCGACGTGTACTGCTTCATGGCACATTCACGGTGGACACGGCGACGGCCCCGACATTGCGAGGGCTGGGGTTCAGTGCAATGGAATCTCGACGTATGGCAGGGTAACTAGTTTTGTCAATCAGCCATCCCTATGCACATGGCAATTAGGCCGCAGAGCGTACGGCATTGGACGGTGCTGGAATGTGGCGAGGGAGCTGGGACGACGGGCTGGCACAACGGGTTGGCTAGCGACCTTATATGGAATGCGGACAGTCTCCCGGGGGTTAAGCGCACACGACGGACTGCTTGACACATTTATTGAAGCGTTGCTGCCTTCTGTGCAAAAGTTCTGGACAAGTGTGCTTCTAGGGCGGGCGAAGTCTTCGCCAAATTAGAATATTGGGGATGCGGGCCATCTTCATCGAAATTGTCTGAGAGGCTTGCGCTCCCTTGCTTGCACCCCTAAAAGCCATCAAATGACTCAACTCCAGCCTCAGCCAACGCGTCATTTTGCATAATCCTTAATGTGGTAGCTCTTGAGCTTGACGAATTGATCAAAACCAAATTTGCTCAATGTCTGCCCTTTGCCGGAGTTCTTCCAACCGGTCCATGCAAGATCCTAGAGAAAAATGTCAGTAACGTAATGCACACTATCGAATGAAAAGTATCTTACTGGGCTGGGGAAGTCGCATCTGTTGACGAAAACGGTACCTGCCTCAACGTCGTCACATAGCTCATAACCTTTGTCGGTGTCCTTTGTCCAGATACTAGCTGTGAGGCCGAATTCGCTATCATTCATGAGCGCTACGGCCTCTTCGTCGCTCTTGACCTTCATAACAGGAATTACCGGCCCGAATGTCTCATCCTTCATAACCGTCATCTCGTGAGTGACGTTGATGAGTAGTGTAGGCTTGATGAAGTTGCCCTTCGTCGGCGGATTGCTGAACGACTCGTTCTCCGGTGTCGCATCCTTAGCACCCTTATCTAGAGCATCCTTAACATGTGCCTCAATCGTGTCTTTGGACCTCTTTGAAATGACGGGGCCAACGTGAGTGCCTTTGTCAAACGGATCACCAAGCTTGTAGCCCTTAAGAACGTTCTGGACAGCTTCAACAAACTCATCATGGATCTTTTCATCAACGTAAACCCTCTCAATAGAGCAACAGCTCTGGCCAGAGTTGAATACCGCACCATCAACGATCTCTTCAGCCGCCCAAGGAATATCCACGTCACCTCGAACATATGCGGGATCCTTACCGCCAAGCTCTAGGCCAACATTGACAATGCGATCTGACGCTGCGGCTTGGACTGCCAATCCACCAGCCACCGACCCTGTGAAGCACACGAGACGGATCAGCGGATTCCGTACAAGGGTCTCGATCATTGACGGCGAGCCGCTGTGGAAGTACTGCAGAACACCTGATGGCAGCCCCGCCTCAGCGAACGCGGTCGATACCTGCTCCACGATCGTCGGTGTCTGTGGCGATGGCTTCAGAATGACCGAGTTTCCTGCAAGGAGCGCCGGAATCAACGCGTTGACCAGGATGAGATAGGGGTACTGTGGCACATTAGTTCTGCTGCCATGCCGGTCAAAGAAGGGGTAAGTTGGGACCCACATTCCATGCGAAGATGATCAAGACAGGGCCGACTGGCACCTTGCGAATGAAGCGCTTGAAACCCTTCTCAGGCTCTCCATCTGTGTCTTTAAGCGTCTCCTCACTGATCTTAAGCAAACACTCGGCACGCTTGACGGCGGTTGCGACCTCCTTGGCCGTGTAGGCAATGGGGCGTCCCATTTGCGTGGTGAGCTCCAAAGCCAGCTCATCTTGGTGCTCAGAGAGATATTGCAATGCCTTCTTGACAATGATCTGCCTGTCTGCCAGCTTGGTCGTCCGCCAACTCTTGAATGCCTGCGAGGCGGTCTGTGGCAGCTGCTCTAACTCTTCTTGTGAGACGCCATTACGCGTGATGATCGCCTCGTTGGTGTTGGGTGAGATGGTCTTGAGGATTTCAACAGACATCCTAGAGCTGAGGAACTGGTCGCTGGGATATTTAGCGGGAGAGTGAGGGAAAGTCTTGATTGTCGAAAGAAAAGGGACACTGCACGATATTAATTATCCTCGTGTGGTGATTGTCGTCATGCCCCTCCATGAACATTGTGATATGTGGAAAGTCGCCCCACCGACCTCGGCACTGATAAGATAAGGTTATTTTGGTAACGCAACTGCTGTGTAACAAAAATGGAATATGCCGGCGGGAAATTTTTCGATGTGCTCAAAGCTTCCAGTCGTTAGCGCATCATAGCCACACAACATGCTTCACAGATGACACTCTACTTAAACGCACGATCAGACACCTAGGACGACTTACCTGTACATTTTTAAAGAGCGAAATTTGGCTCTTGAAGCCGCTCCTTTCTCTGATATGGCACCGGACAAGCGGAATCAGTTCCTCGATGCGGAGGAAAGCGATGACGAGGGCAGCCAAGGCTACGATTCCGAGGCAGACGAGTTCCAAAAAGGCGGCCGTAGTGCAAAAAGGCGGCGAATTGATTCAGAAGACGAACAAGATGATGATATGAGCATTAAGGAAGACGACCTCTACGACTCGGAGGATAATGCGCACAAGACGAGCAGCAAGCGTATCAAGCTGCAGGCAGAGCCAGATGCGGTAGAAGGCAAAACGAAGGCAAAACGTGAACAAGACGATGACTCGAAGCCCTTAGAACTATTGGGGGTTTCTAAACCCCTCACGAAGAAGAACCTCGTTGCGACGGAGAAGGCTGTCAAGAAATCTGGAGTAGTGTACCTATCACGCATACCGCCATTTATGAAGCCGCAAAAGCTTCGCTCGCTCCTGTCTCCCTATGGACAGATCAACCGTATATTCCTTGCTCCAGAGGACCCCGCTGTATATACACGACGAGTGCGAAGTGGAGGGAACAAAAAGAAGTCATATACCGAGGGATGGGTGGAATTTGTCAATAAGAAGGAAGCAAAGGAGGCTTGCCAGCTTCTAAATGCGCAAACAATCGGCGGCAAGAAGGGGTCATACTATCGTGATGACATCTGGAACCTCTTGTACCTCAACGGATTCAAATGGCATAATCTGACTGAACAGATCGCCGCTGAGAATGCGGAGAGGACAAGCAGGATGAGGGCTGAAATTAGTAGGACGACCAAGGAGAACAAGGAGTTTGTAAGAAACGTGGAGCAGGCAAAGGTGCTTGAAGGTATTCAGACCAAGAAGGCGGCAAAACGAAAGAAGCTTGATGGTGATGAGACGGATGATGTTGGAGGCGTAGGTAGTGGTATCTCGGCGTCCGAGAAAGCCAGAACCTTCAAACAGATACCTTTGGCGAACAAAAAGGAGATGGAGGGGGCCCAACCTGAGCGGGTTCAGAGAGTGCTAAGCAAGATCTTCTAGTACCAATAACTATATCAGATACCACAATACCCAATTTTGATCTTTACCCCAACCGGCCATCGAATATCAAGGTGTTTTACCTGCCCATAGCGAGAAACCTCGGCTCGCGGAAAACAGTCCTCACAGAACAATTCGTCTAATCTCGTACTTTCCGTTGAGCCTCAGAGTTGTTTCCAACTTGGGAAATAAAGAGCAGTCCTTGTCGGTCGCCAATCTCGACTCCTTCCTCTCCTCATACTAAAACTTTACTCTTTCGTATTTATCACTTATAACGCTTCTCTTACCCGAGCAAGATCTTCAGATCGTTTTAGCAGCCAGTATCCTTAACTTCTTTCTGTTCGACTCGATCCCGGACTTTCGCCTTCATTAACACTCCCACACTTACACTCACTACGATCTCACCTCCAACCATGAATAACGACATTCAAAATCTGTGGGACGATATCAAGTGGTGCCGTCAGCAGCTCAACAAGATGACCATTGATCACGCTCTCTGTGGCCTTGGTATCGCAGACAATTCTGAACGCGTTGCGCAGCTTGAGGGTTTCATCGCGGGAGCTCTCGACCGAAATCGCACCCACGATCACAAGTACGGAGGGCAAATCTGCAACCGGGTCATGAGATCTTTCCGTAACGCCTGGCCTGATGTCCAGAGTATCTGGGCAGAAGCCCCAAAGACGTGGATGGTAGCAGCGATTAAGACATGTATCAAACAGATCGACCAGGGAACAGCGCTTCCGCGCAAAGCTCAGGATGCTACTAGTGGCGGCCCAGTTTGTGTTCATTGCCAGGCCTCAAATGCAAATAGATGGGATTTCTCAGGGGAATCTCACACTTACACCGCCAACGGACAGGACCAGCATGTCGAGGAAACCCCTATCAATCTAGCGCCGGCTACACACAAAGATCCTGTTGTTGCCAATTGGGGTCAAGGAGGTTGGGGCCAAGAGCTTTATGGGCAGGATGAGCAAGATATGTCTGCTTGGGCTGATCATCACTACCCATGTGGTCCAAATTCCAGGGCTGTATATCCGGAATACCAAGGATGTAACGATATCAGAGGTGCTGGTAATCGCACATATGACTCTGGTGGTAATGCCTGGGGAGGAATGGGATCACCGGACATCAATGTCTCCAAGCCAGGCAGAGACATCCGCTCATGGGGTGTTGACGAATCCGCGCCGAAGACCTCAGTGAATGACCCTCACACTCCCACTAGGATGGCCGGATGGATTGGGGGAAGACCTCAACCACCCCCCGTCGCAGTGCGCTTTCGTCCCCTTCCAGTCGATGACGATACCATGAGACATGTTTTCAGCGTCTCGCCTCCTTTACAAAACGGGGCAACATATGCGCATGACTCCACTGCAGACCCATTCGGCTCCCAAGCACCCAACGAACTAAACAACTTATTCTCAGAGCCTTCTCCGCTTCCTCGTCCTCGCGACCCGATTTTGACCAGGAAGCGAACGCAACTGCGATGGAGGAGCCGCTCCCGCGCCACCAGCTCAGATGAGATCCAGGTAGATTTCCTCCCCGGCAAGGGAATGAGAAGCCTTGGAATTAGGCGCGACCAACAAGATGACACCCAAACTAGCATTGGAGGTACGGTCAACAATAGTGGCGGCGGAAACATTTGGCCACCATATGCTTCTTCAAGTATTCGAGCCGACAAGAGTGTAGCCGACAACGACAGTGTTCTGGATGGAGAAGTACATGCCATCGATGAATTGGACATGCTTGACAAGTGGATCTCTTCACGCCGCCAAAGTCCGACTACACAAGGCTGCGGGTTGGGCGGTTGGTAGACATGAGCTCACAAGGTAAGGTATGTTGGTTGCAAGGCTGTCCAACTGGCTGACTTTACAGCACTCGGCGTTTTCGATTTTCAAATCATTATCAAGGGTTGCCTTTCGCAGAATCATACATACATACCACGGGATGTATCACCTCTTAGATGGAAGGGGTGGTAACATCTGAAGCTAGGCCAATCGCATCATAGACGGGCATGGGATGAAGCAGGCAAAGGTAAATGACTTTTTGGGGTCATCAACATGGCTAGGTGGCGACAAGGGGTATCGCAAACGACAGTGGTGCGCAGAAGTGTAATTGTATGTAAACCATCTACCACAACGCCGAATCCGCAGTGTCGGGCGATATCTGCCCGGCTTTTTGAGACCCTCAAGAAACGCAAATGGGAAATCAAATGATTATTCCATCTCATGGTCCTCAACAGTCAGCTCATCAAAGTCTTCCAGCAACTCGTCCATATTGACCTTTGGACCGTCATCATCTTCTGTGACTTCAGTTCCCGCAATGCTCATATTGTCCACATCCATCCCAGCAGCTTGTTGTTGTAACTTCTTCTTGTTCGTGTTCTTGTAAAGGGCCAAGGCCGCGCGGAGCTCCTCGTCCTCCTCCACATCGCGTAAGAACAATTCGTACTCGTTATCCATCCGCTCTTGGTCCGACTTCTTTGGCAGGAGCTCGCCTTCATCCTTTGCCATGCGCTTGAGGCGCCACTTCCTGTTCTTGTGCTTGTTCTTCCGTGGCCAGTGCTTCTTGACAAGCACCACATCCGGAATTCGTGAACCGTACGTATTAGACTCCTCGATGTCTTCAAATTGTGGATTGTTGAAATTTGTTCCAGTTAGCATATACCCCATCACTGAGTCTCCGGCATTCAAGAAATGACCCAGATGTGTCCGGACTGAGTATGTCTTATCGTTGACACCCAAATCGACGGCACGAGCCACCGTTACCTCTGACACCAACCATCGGCCTTTGCTTGGGCCTGTGGGCTCCGAGTCTAGTACAATAAACTCAACCAGCTCCTTGGCATCTGCGAGTGAAACAAAAGGTGCCCTCCAGTATATCGGCGAACTAAGGTCGGCTGTTTGTAGGGTGTTCGGATCGAGAAAGTTGACAGACGTGCCAATTCTGTGGCACAAGACCAGGGGTGAAATGTTGCCAAGCTGCTTTGCAAGTTTGATGGGTAGTGCCACTAGATCGTCCTTGCAGATGGGTACGAGTTCCACCGAGTATGTAAACTTATATGACTTGACTGAGGTGTGAATATCTTGAGAAATAAGCTCTTGCGACTTCTTCACCTTGACAGGCACAACTGATGTCAAAAAGTCCACGAACTTTTCCGCCTGGTTCCTCGCCGAAAAGAAGAAGTCGATTCCATCCTTGGCTTCCTTGATGTTCAGTGTCTCGCGGTGAGCACCATGCTTCAAAATTAGTTGTTCGAGGAACAAGAATGTCCTCTTGTGCAGGACCTTTTGCCGGACCTGTACACTTGCCCTCCACACGTTTGCGGTGTAGGACTTGGCACACTCTGGGCACTGTTGGTATGCGACAATATAGACAACCTCGAAACTTTGCTGTAGCAAAACGCCATCAGACACGGAGTCTTGTACCGTGAGCTTCACCTTGACACGTCTCGAATGCGGCTCTGTCCAAACAAAGCTTGCGTCTACTATTCGTATCTTGTGTAGTCCCTTCAGTTTCTTCAAGCAAAGAGCAAGCAGCTCTCTCGACTCGGGTGCTGCTGCCACCCAACTGCTTGGGGGCAAAAGCCAGCGGTCGCAATCTCGGCAAAAGTTCAGTACGGCTTCTCGTTGTATTCCCTGGGAAATATCGACAGTGAGCTTCACGCAGTCGTAGCACAGGGCGCCTGCTGCTGTCGTGCCGTCGATCGGCGCTCCACAGTTGCAGCAGAGAATACTAGAAGTTTATTAGATTTGATGCCCGAGTCGCTGATGAGGTCAAAACATACGTTGCTCCGGTCTGGGCGGTCCCTGCTGAGGGTGCTATGGAGATCGGGGCGTCTAAGTCCATCGAGGACGCCATCGCGAGAGTTAAGTGCAATACTTGTCAAGGAAGTTGATAGTTGGAGATATAAATTCTCCAGGTTGGGAAATCGCAAAAAGTTTAGAGGCAGCGACATGCACCGCCGTCAAAATCCCAAAATTCTCGATTGCCCCGCTGATTGATAAGCGCGATAAGCACCAAGCCGCCTCAGGTGGCGAAGGTTATCTGGCAACTGGCGCGTGGTCGTGCAGCTGGCGCTCAGCTGGCAGTCCACAGTGGCTGGGGTCCAGTACAACCTTTGAACTCCGCCTGGTAATACTCCTCCGCCAGGGTATTACATATTAATTTCTGAAGGTTACAGCTACTCATATTTGAGAGTCGTAATACTATCAAGCTCTCGAATGTTCTGTTTATTACTATAGGTCTATCGACCTCTACAAAGTAGTAACCTCTCGTTGAGGAGGTAGTGATTCCCTTTCTGAACTAATATTCATTACCTAGGCGGAGGTGTAAATGTCGAGTCAGTTCGGGAGGGCATCAATGCCGTTTCTGTTTCTCAACATGAGATTACTACATTTATAGAAATTTATGGATATATATTAATAAACGATATCTTGGAAGCAGAGCATTTAATTTATTTATTTATTCATTGTTCCTTTTGGCGAATTTTCGTTTATCATGCTGGCAGAGAATTACACACACACTTGGATTTCTTCTCGTCTAGCCGTTACATTAAAATGTATTCTATAATATCCTCCTTCTTAGGTTGTATTTCTCCAAACATAACGCCATCACAGTAAGCTGGCCCGACAAGAGTCCATCCGGCTTCGCCGTCTGGTAACTTCCTGTCTCGTACTATCATTGGTATGTGATTTCCTCTCCAAATACTGATGACATCTCCAAACTCAACTGGGAAACTGATGCCAATCTTATCCCTGTCGGTATAAAACAGACTCTTTCCTCGGTGAAGAGTCAGAATAAGCGTAATTATCTCGTTAGTATTGATGAAATCTTCAAGTCCTTCCAACAGAAATGCGACATCATATAGAGCTCGGTTTTCAGGGACGCTGTCAGCCGCAGCAAATAAATCGTCCAATTCGCCCATTTCCTGAGCGACCTCAATACAAGCATCAACTTCTTCATCAGATAAATAAGCTGAGAGCACGACTCTGGATACTTCAAGCCACTGGTCCAGCCGCGACTTGCCCTGGCCGGTCATAGTTTTGGCTATTTCAAGGAGCTCGTCTAATATTCGAAATCTCACAATAATAGGGTCGATCTCAAAAATTTTCGATAGCTCCAATTCGTGCTCAGTCCATTGACTGGTTCGGTCGTCTAGGCCCATATTTTCCCGGCGGTCGAACGTGTAGAGTGTTCGGGATAAATGGGTGAAGAATGAGTGTCGATCAAGATCATTGTCGCCTTCTGAAAAAAATTCAATGATTTGATTCAACGACGATAATGCCTCAATCTTTAAGGAATAAATCGCGGTTGGTTCCATGTCCTCCGAGTCATTGTCGAGCTCGTCGATGGTGTTGAGGGGATTCGGAAAATTGAAAACTGCAATAACACTAGCGTACCTCATCCCCCAGACATGAAGGTATCTCCCATCAACATAAAACTTCAAAATCTTATCTTCGTCTTCCCTGTCATCAATACCTAGTCCCGATACTCGTGTACCAAAAGCATACAAGTCGTAGTAGTTATCATTAAACTCCCAATCCGGGACCCACGAAGGTATGTTGCTTGACTTTTCGGCATTGCGGCCTTCACTCGCAAGCAACATGGGCCAACATTTCCACTCCCACTCTAAATGGTTGAGCAAGAATACCGTGAACTCCGTAAAAAGTTCGTCCAATGGTTTTTCGTAATCGATTTTAAATAGAGACGCATGGATATCCTTCTCTTTCGCGTCCATAAACGCCCATAACATTGCATAAACTTTGTCCCTCGGTTCAGACGCACTCAAGGACTTCGCGCCAAGTAAAATATTCTGTTCAGGAAATTCCATCTCTTGAACAATGCCGCCACCTTTCCGGTGCAGAGTTGCCAAGTCGTCCGCATCGAGGAGAACAAAATGTGATTCCAAAAAGTGATCGACGAGGCGCTGAACTTTCACATCACGTCCCAACCAATCCATATCAGGAAAGAAAGACATGTTGCTATCTATGAAGACAGTCAAAACGCAGAAGTCTGGGTAGTTGACCTCGACAGAGCCTGAGATGATGACAATTTTTCTAGCCAGAGCAATCTCTTGAACAGTCCAGACTCGTTGCCAGTATGGATTAGCATATATCTCGAGCATCTGACCTGGAGCCGAGGTTAGTAGATATAGGACCTGTAAGAAGGTAGAAGCGCGTACCTTTATGCTTACGAACCTCAGAAGCAATATGGGCTTCCGATACTCTGATATGTGGCAGGGGTATCTCAGGAGGCTTTACCGCCGGGTCTACATGTGGTCTGATGAGACCCATTTGGTAGAGCGAACCGACCTTTCTCACTACATTGAACGCGCTCTTCATGAAATCGCCTCCCTCTTTCGGTTCACCTAACCACACCAATACCTGAGTTGCAGATGCATATATTTGGGCCATCAACGGAACTTGTTGATTCTTGTCCTCGATTGAGGTCTGGTCAATGCAAATAGCATCCACCCATAAAGCTCGCACACGAAATCGATACCGCAGCCGCCTGAGCGCTGCTGCGCAATTTGGCGTCACCACCAGTGTTCGTTCTCGGCTACAGCCCTGGGATATTGTTTGGACGATGACATGTCTCTTTGGCTCTTTGGCTCCCCAAACATATGATAGGGCTTCGAACGTAGGTTTCGAATCTAGGCTCACTTGGCTGATAGAGCATCGTAGTGCTTCACTGCTGTTCATCGAAGGCTGCAAATTAAGAATTCTTAAGGATCTTGGAGTCTGGAGCTGCTCATGATGATACGCGGTGTCCATTCTAGACGCGATCTCTGGATGGCTAAGCTAAGGAACAACGGCGGGTGAAGAAGAAAATGGAAGAAGGTGAAGTTCAGCTTGAAGATTCTACCCCACCCCTTTGATGCTGCAGAAAACGCCACAGCGCGCTTAACATTCAGCTCTTCATACGCATGTATGAGGCTTGGTGCACCGTAAATTCGTGTGCAAACCTTGCTCGCAGGCATCAATCACGTTGAGCCTGAGACATGATTACAAGCACTTGTAGCTTGGACATAGACTTGAGTATACAAAAATGCACCCAATGTTTTCGCACCAAAACTACATATCCGTGGCCACACACATACGCCAGTTTCTATTCACGATGATTTGTTCATTTGCCCATAATTTTGGCCTAGTGAAATTAAGACGCCATATATAGCCAATATTACTTCGAACATACAATTCTTTCACAACAATATAAGCCTCATCAATATATCAATTGTTTGACGAATCGGGTTTAATTAATAACCAAAAATGGCAGCTGTGGAGACGAGAAGGAAATATGGTCACCCGACTCCTCGAACACGACGCAGATCTCCTGCACCATTTTTACGATCTTTATCCGGAACGTGGTACTGAGTAGCCTGCACCTCCCACACCGTTACGATGCGTTTGTCTATTCCAGAGATAACAACGTTTGCTGGACCACACTACACCTGCGTGCGGTCAGCTTCGCTAATGTGCCCGCTTCTGGACTTCCCTATCATTACGATGTCATCTTTAACTTTGGTCCCAAGGTCTGTGAGCGGTGGGCCACAGAATGGCTGATTACAATTGAGTTTGCTTGGGGTAGCTTAAGACCTGCCAAATTTGCGGGGTGTTGCTCACTGCCGGACATTCAAAGCGGCTGTAACGTAACGTTAATTAGCAGTTCACTTACATTCTGATGCAGTAGGTATTCGGTCCAGGCGGTAAAGCGGGTGTATTAAACATAGTTCCTGCGCCGCCACTGCGATGCTGCAAGACCCATCCTCTAGATCCTATTTCGAAGAGCCGCAATGGCTTTCTGCAGGCTCTTTGCTGGGCTTTTTCTGACTGTCAGCGTTGCTGTTGTGTATGGCCTCCCCAGCATAACAGCTATACCATCATGGGACATTCTATCATCAGCGAATTTAAGTACAGACTTGGCCTCGCTGAGCCTTCCAGGAGTAGACACCACTTCTTGGTACCATGTGCCGACATCAAGGTGCACTGTGATGGGATGTTTACTGGCTGCTGGTGTTTATAATGATACTGAGCTCTGGTTCTCTGATACGTTCGATCATTTCGACGAGAGTCCATTCCGTGTGCCTTGGCTGTATCGGCATGAATTACCGATAAACCCATCTCCAGGGCAACATTATTTTCTAATTACAAACGGAGTGACCTCCAAGGCGGATATCTGGCTCAATGGTGAACAAGTCGCAGCGAAGGAATTGCAGTCTGGGGCATATGGTGGTCACATATATGATGTTTCCAGTCTCGTCAACTCAAACAATGCCCTGATTATCAAAGCCTATCCGACGGATTATATGCATGATTTTGCTCTTGGCTTTGTTGACTGGAATCCTTTCCCACCTGACAACGGCACGGGCGTCTGGCGAGATGTCCTCATTAAACAGACTGGACAGGTGGCACTCGGCCCTCTGCGTATCACCACAGATTTTAAACTTCCGGCTGGAAGCAGCACTACAGTATCACTCAGAACTACAGCTCAAAATCTTGAAAATCATGCAGTCAGCATCTCAGTGAATGGATCTATCGTCGACGAAGATGGATCACTCATCGCCCTATCGAAAAGAGTGAACCTGGAACCTCTACAGACATCGGAAATACTTCTTTCAACGACTATTGAGAAACCCAAGGTTTGGTGGCCAAAACGATGGGGACAACAGCCGCTCTATACAGCTCGATTATCATGTTTGATCGACAACACTTTGTCAGATGAGACCGAAAAGTATAAATTTGGTATCCGCAAGGTGACATCTGAAGTGAGCTCATTCAACGATACGACATTTTTCGTCAATGGTGAGCGTTTTCAGGTTGTTGGTGGAGGCTATTCTCCGGACGTGTTCCTCCGATGGG